CTCCTCACTGAATCTTCAAAAAAATAATAAAAGTGGCGCCGTTTGTGTTTCTGTACCAGATACCAGCCTGGTCCCAGAACAGGGACCTGCAGGGTGGAAGAGGTTAACTACAACTTTTGCATTACTGAAGTGCTAAATTAGCCGACTCACTAGTTTGCTGACTCTCAAAGCCCAAACCAGCTGTCGGTTCGTCTTAATTAAGCTGAGTCTTCATCAGCTCCAACTGTTGCTCTGGACAGACACGGGGAAGTATGTTTGAAGAACGATTAGTGGAAGGAATAACATATGAGTTAAAGTTGAGGCGGGTGTTAATAATAGCCACTAGTCTCCTCAGCAGCAGGCAGCATCTTTAATGTGTTGGAGGGAGGGGGGGGAGATCTCAGCCTGCCCTAAAATGCAGAGTTCCAAATATAAATACGTCCCCGAGGACAGAGCATGTCCCTTTTTAAGATGAAATAATGTTTGGTAGTTAAGGAAAGCCGTCACCGTGCTTCCTCTGGCTAATGATGCACACAAACCTATTTAGGAACATAATGGCAGCTGTGCCTCTGTATACGTCTGAACTAGGATCTGTGTTTTGTTTTTATTTGTATATGTATAGTTTGTTTACTGAGGTGTTTAACTCTCTGAACCTTCAAGCAGCTTCTGAGCATATTTTCTGTCACATTTTCACTGGCAGTGGGCTCATTTTTCACTGCAACATGAAGTCGTGCACCGTTCTGGAAACAGCACGACTACGAGCAGAACTGTGTCCTGTGCAGAATGACAAAGTTTTAATGCCGTTAATCATAAAAGTAGTGAAAACAACAGCTGAATTTCTTTGATATTTAATTAACTATACCTATTATACTACCTTTTCTATACTTTGCTGCGTTTGTTTCCATAACCTTCTCGTATCCGCGTCATCTGTGTCAGTGAACACATCACTCCAACTGCTATTTTTGCACTATGCTATTATTCAGTCTACTTAGTCCTTGTGTGTAGTAATTACACCTTTACCTCTCGGTTGTTTTTCACTTTTCTCTTTATCTGTACCACCACAATTACAACGCATCGCACTCTTTTCAATATTTAGTTATATTTAGTCTGTGTTATG